TATAAACATTTGATATTTCAAGAATAAGATGTTATTAAATAAATTTTACTATATCAATGGAATTTCTATACAATAGTATTCCACCCTTAATATCATAAAAGGGTAATTCCATCGTCACTCATGCAAATACAAGGAGTTAATATAGTGCCCATCACATTCAATTCAATAATATATATATACACACACACACAAAACTAACCAACGCATGATAGTAAGTAGCTATATATATAAAGCATTTATAACAATGTGACCAATAAAGAAAGAACATATCAATCAAAATAAAATTGGCACAAATATCGTCAATTGGTACTGCAAAATAGTTGAGAAAAAATAAAAATTACCATAAACTAAAAGAGCGAGTACTCACTTCAAAGTTGAATAATTTGTTATTTAATTTGTCTTGACATCTACTCTTCTAAAATTAGAAGCCTATAATAAACATGGTACTCATATAACTAAAATTTAATTTAATTATATTTTAATTAATTATTAATGGCATTACTTAAGTACTAATTTTCATGTTTTACTTTATGAAATTCTGAGTAAATTTATTTTGCTATTAAAATTCATTAATGAAGTTATAATATAAAATATAAACCCAAACTTTCCTTATCGAAGTTTGCTCAGATCAGTCTTTCTCCTCTAGCTCGCACACTTCACCTACTTTTATTCTCCTTTAACATGAAATTTTAACCCAAAGACATAGTTTAATAAAAATTTCTAAAACCTAATCCATGAAAAGAAAGGTTACTTCTACCTCTGCACGTGATTCCACCTCCTTCGCGCACGATAAAACTCCTGCACTCATGAGAGCTTCTTCCACTCGATCCCTTCTTCCACTCGGCGAGTGCACCGCTCCTCTTCCCCTTTTTTCTTCTTCGGTTCAATCATCAGGATAGAGTGTCACTACACGTGCAGGAACTCATGCACTCGCCTCCTCTACACGACAACAGCGTCGCCCTTGCCCACGTGAGAGCTCTTTGGTCTTCTCATTGTTTGGCCATGCAGTGCACTCGAGGTTAGTTACTTGTCTTTTGCCTAGCCACTCGATCCTCCTCTCTTTTGAATGGGCAAATCATCCTTAAGATGTAGAAATTGCCTTGTATTACTCATATGCATCGTTTTATAGAACATAAGTGACGTTTGAGTTTCCGACTATTCGATTCCTCTACCGCTCTTTGACTGCCCAACTCCTCGCTTCCTCTCCTCCACTTCGACTCTCTTAGTTATTTGAAATGAAGCGCCACATTATTGTGGAAAGAATAAGCCTAGAGCTAGCGAACCATTTAGAGTTATTGAGGGATCAACAATAATGCTTACAAGATTGATCTACCTAGTGATTATAACATTTCTATCATTTTCAATATTGTCGATTTGATTTCACACCCCTAAGGACTAGAAAGCTTTCAGTGATGAAGACAAAACCCCTCCCACACAGAAAATGGTGTGGTTGTACTCTTTCGCACCAGGACAACGCAAAAGCTAGGCTTTCTTCCCTGATCAAATAGAGGGAGCTTAGACTAGTCCCGATTCAAGATTTTACACCACTAGGGCTGTCAAAAAAGCTCGTTGTTCGCGAACGTTCGTCTTCGGTTCGCTAGGGAGTTCATGTTCGATTCGTTCGATAAGCAAACGAAAAGAACACGAACAATTTTTTTTGTTTGATTTGTTAAACGAACCATACACGAACAGTGATGCGTTCATTCATGTTCGAATCGTTATTATTCGAAATATAAAATACTTTAAAATAATTATATATATTGATATATATATATTTTTATGATATTTTAAAAATAATTATCAACTCTAAAAATTTATCATATTTTTAAAAATTAAATGCTATAAATTAAAATATATAATAAATTATTAATAATAATATAATAATATACTATATTAGGAAAATAGAAATTAGATATTTATATAATATAAGTTACATAATTAATATACTTTATTATATATACTATATATATAAAAACAAAAACAAAAAAACCCTAAGCCCCAACCCCGTGACCCCGTTTTCAGCTATTCGGAACTTCGGATAGGCCTCCCCCTTCCCCCTCTTGTGGTCGGCTCTCCTTCTCTCAAAATCGCGCCCGTCTTCGATAGTTCGGCCTCTCCTTCCCCTCTCGAAAGCCGGTCCGCTGTCCTTCACTCAAAATCGCGAAACCCTTTCTCTCATCAAGAGCTGCTCTCCTTCTTCTCTCAAAATCGCGAAACCCTTTCTCTCGTCGAGAGCTTATGGTTGGTTGTTTGTGTTCGTTATCAAAAATATGAGCCAAGTGGTAAAAAAAATAAAGTACATTTTATTTTCTTCTTTAGTCTTGAAGATTTTTACTAGTAGTTGCATCTCAGATTTTAGGCCCTATTTTTATTCTTGAAGATCTTTACTAGGAGCATTGTTTATTCATACACCTACCTCATAGTTGGTTGATGCACCCATAAATTGGCTCAGTGGAGTGTCGCTCATAAATCTATTTTTATTAGATGGTTTGTACAAGCTATTTATGTACATATATTTTAGTGTTTTTAGCTAGTATTAAGATAGTGATTCAATCTTTCATTATGCATGTGTGAACATTTTTATAAAGATTGTTTCATTTGCCCTAGTATATAATTTCTTTTTGGGAAATTTACATTCATGCCATAAAACTTTCCTGTACTTACATATCTTACACCTAAGCTTTCATATTCACACGTATAGCTGCTTATTTTATTTAATAAAATATGTATATTCATTTGATTACTTCTGTTCATATGTTTGGTAACCAAATGCATTAGATTTTAGGGGCATTTACATACAAACCACCTATGTATTACATATTTTAGTGGTTTTTGTAGCACTACCCAGCCTGTCACCTTTCCAATGCTGTGATAGAGGCATTTACGTATATAACACACAATTCCTATGTTCTTACATACATAACACCTAAAGCTTGATATTTTTATTTACAACACTTTTGGTGTCACAAATTCATGCATGAAAAAGGTGTATTTCACTTTCAAGAAGTAATAGTTTTATGCTTGATGTAATGTTAACGATATGGGTGGTATGCATATAAAAAGAAAGGTTAGGTTAGATATGTAAAAATATAAGAGTTATGTGGTATTTATGTAAATGCTCCCTAAAATTTTTGCAAATCTAAAATTTGATCCACAAAAGCCACCTCAGTTTGAACAATTCAAACAATTCGAATTGATTTCAAACAATTCGAACCATTTGAACGATTCGAATGACTCAAACGATTCGAACGATTCGAACGATTCGAACGACTCAAACGATTCAAAAGATTCGAACAATTCAAACGATTCGGACAATTCGAAGAATTTAAATTAATTTCGAACAAATCAAACCGAACACGAACAGTACCTTCACGAATAATTTCGAACAAGTCTATTTCAAACAGACTAAATTTAAAACAAACCGAACACGAACACGAGCATTGTACGTTCGTGTTTGGTTTGTTTAAACCCCTATACACCACTATGAGACCGACTAACCCTTAGAGCCCTTTATTTGCATAGTTGGGAATAATATTAGAACAATTCTGGATTTCTGCTCTTATGAGTTCTATAACCTCTTCTCTTTGAAGTAGTGTATTTGTTAACTGATCAAGAATAGGTGGAGAATCCCCCTAGGCACTTGTATCCCTCCATCCTTGCCACATTAAAAATTTGCAATTTGCATTAAATGTCAAAAATTTACAAAAGGTATGCATCTAAGCATTCCCATTGTGGTCTAAATCCTCACTAAATATGTAAAACAAAGTGAGACCACACTCTAAAAGTTTTCAAACAAGAGAGCAATTCAAAGTAAGTCTATCACAAAAATGGGCTACTTTATTATTGCTCCTCAAGTCCAAACTAAAAGACAACTATTTAAATTGAGATAAAAGGGCTAAGTCCGGTCCAAGGTTGGATTATTTTCTCCAACTACCTTACTTCAAACTCTGGTGGGCAGCAGTTATCATCCCCTTCGATGATGATACCTTTCAGTTCAAGGATGCTCCATTCTTGCCGCCGGAGACTCTTGCTATTGAAATGTAATTTTCACTTTTCAAGGAGAGCCTTGCTGTTTTTCCTCTAGGACAACAACCAGTAGCCAATTCTCCCTTCCAAATCCTTACTGATTCTCAGTTTATTTCTTCATGTTATTTTATAAACATCCAACCCTCGTATCGATGCTCATACACCATCTAGGAACCATTGATCAGTGTTACGAACATTCAAGTCTTTTCTTTGATGAACAGTTGGGTTCTATCCACCTTGAACTGCAATAGTGTTCTAATAGCATACTCTCTTTTGGCAAGTGTGCCTCTAGCAAAAGTGCCCCTGAGATTGGCACATGGGGCTATCTGCATGTCGCCGGATGCATATTGAAAAAGGAATCTATGGCTTTCATTAACTTCTTTTATAAAATGTTGGTCATGTATTATAATAAAAACCCAAATGAACCAAAATTTTATCGAATGCTAGATTATATCCATTAATCAAATCTCAACGTAAGAATAACCAAAAATTTAAAAACTGTGACAAACTTAGTATTGTTTGAAGTATTTACTTCATCAGGTAAAATGAAGAATTACTAGTTAGGTTAGTGGTTGAGAGGACAGAACCTAAGAAAGATGGCCATTTATCTAGTTACTTGATAGGTAAAGATTTAAATTTTGAAGTATTTGTTGACTGCAATTAATGATTAAATTGATTGAGATCAAAATATCCTTGGGATTTCTAAACATAGGAAAGTTCACATATGCTTTAGCCCAACCAGCTTCTGAACGAATCATTGATTTAGATGGGTAAGCAATATAGCAGATTTTTTGTGTCGGTAAGGCTAAATTCTCCTGAGCATCAGCAATTAGCTCTTCAACTACAACACATATGTTGCAGGTTGGCAATAATGATGCAATGTAGTATTTTTATGGCAGAGCCGAATAAAATCAGTACATAAAATAGAGAAGACAACTATGACTGCCCAAAGAATTAGCCAGCGATGCAATTACCTTTGTGCCAATCTGTTGAGAAGCAACTCGAGAACCTTCAAAAGCCCTTGTCTCCAGCATCCTAAGCAAATGTTGTCCATCAACGTTTGCTAGTATTTTTATCCCATTTTCAATTGTTACTGCCAGCAAAGAACCCTCCTTGTTGAATCTAAGCCGAGGACTTGCCTGCAATTACATATATAGAAAAAAGCCAATGTTTCTTGCCATGTGCTCCAAACGAAAGTTAAGTCACAAGGGGTTCAACGTTCAGAAAGTTAAGTTACTAACAAGTAATCCACCCTCAGCATCTGTGGTGGTTAGTATATTGGCTTTATCCATATCCCAGAACTTTATTGTATATTCAGCTCCAGCAGCTAAGAAGCGATTTCTGGTAGTGTCAAACTGAACTACACCAAGAGAGCGTTTCTTAAAGCCAGAGTAAGCCATTTTAATCGACCCTTCACTCTCATTCCACTCGACTAGATGAGATTCTCCAGCTATACTAGTTCCACATGAAAAGAGCCTACAAAAAGAGTTCTACAAACTATCAAGTAGCAGCACAAGTAGTGGTGGTGGTAATAATAATAATAATAATAATGATTGAACATGAAGGTTTTCGTGATGATGATGATTGGCAAAACCATATGGTGACAACAAAGTAGCCTAGCATTATAACACACGTGTAAACTAGGCGATGAGCACACACATTAATATTGATTCATGTAATGGCCGCGCTGAAGATGAAACAGTTACGAACATAAAAAGACATATGAGAGAATAGTATAAAAATGTTCAACTTCCTTAAAAGCAATAAGAAAAACAATTACATATATTTCAAAACGTTGCCTAATGTTAGTTTTTCGCTCCCTTCAAAATACCAATTCAACAAGCAAAGTAAATAGTAAAAACAAACAAGCTTCACCTTGATCCATCAGAACTATAAGCCATCGTAGTGCACCAGTTTCCAGGAGCAATATAATCAACTCTAGATCCCTTGCAATCATATAGCCAAGCTTTAATTTTCCCATCAATAGCCGTAGAGAATAAAAACTGCATTTCAGAGGCACAAAGTTAGATGCATTTAATGTTCTCAGACAAGATCATCACCTCAGGCCCTTCCCTTATAAAGTAAGTAGGAAGTGTATAAAATCATCAAAGCCTAAGAATAAAAAAAAAATTTTGGCCATTAAGCTAAGGAGATGGATCTTTAAGAAGGGAACGGTCACTATATTACGTTGGAAAAAAACCTGGATAGCTCCTTTCGAATGGGGGCAAACTGAATATACAGGAGCTCCATGCCCTTCAAGTACATATTGCCTCTGACCTGTCATTGCATCCCACACCTACAATTCACATAAAAGATTACTAATACCTCTCATTGCTATAAAAATCATTTGGAAAAAGGCAGCACTTGCAACATACCTTAATCATCCTGTCGTCACCGCATGTAACGATAGACAAACTCTTATTTGGGAGAGCAAATGAAATGTCATTTACGCCACCAACATGAGCATCAATCTATGGACAGAATTTTTTTTCCCAGTTAAATCAGTCATAGTGGCATAGATACCGAACCATATTCAAGAACATTACCTCCAAGTGATTCCTCAACTCTCCATTTGTGCTATAAGCATATGTCTGGACAACATGCTTTGAGAATGCAATACCTAAAAAAAAAATTAAATATAGAAGCTCATCCATTAGTAAGCCTAAAGTTTAGCAGCATAGAAAGTTTACTGTAGGACTGGACTCTGGACCATACCAATAATGGAACCATCTGGACTCCATAGACACCTATTTACAGAAATTGTAGCATCCTTCATCAGGGCTTCCTGGAAAAAGATTGAGTTTACAGTGGGAATGACATATGATTAAACCACAATTACTTTAAAGAACAGGGTGATAGAGGAAGATAAATACATATTAAATACATATTAAATACATAACCTGATTCAGCTTTGACACTACTAAATTTACAATATTTTACCTGAAAAGGCATGGAACAGGCTGAAACATCCCATAACTTGAAAGCCTTATGCGCAATTCTTTCCCGTGATCCAACTTCCCAAATAGATATTTCCCCGATATTTGTGCCAACTATAAATATTACCAAAATCAAAAAAATAAGACAAGGGAAAATCATTAAATATATGCCAAAAAAACCATTCATTTATGTGATGTCATATGGTAGTATCAACAGCAGCAGTGACAGATATAATCTGTACTGCAAATAAAAAAACATAAAAAGGAGCGGTAAATATCAGGCTTATACGAATGCTTTCAATGGAAGAATGTTGAAGGAGCTACCAAGAATAAAACTTTGATGCTGGGGATGAAAATCAAAGCTCATAACACTAGAACCTAGATTTAACGTCCGCACAACTGTCCTGGGAAGATTATCCAACAAGTGCATATTACCCTGATGAATAGCAACAGAGAATGACACCTAAATCAAATTCCGAAACTAACACGAGTCTAGATTAGAAAGCAACCATCTAAACAGCTATAAATGGTCAACAATCATAAGAAAAAGATTGTTATCCCATACTTCATCAGATTGCCCGCTACGAGCATTCTTTGACAAGTGCTCTGTATTAACAGTTTGATATTCCATGATTGTTGCACTTGAAGGAGCCCTCTGGTATTTAAGAGAAGCGGCTACAAGTAACATGACATGTGATTGTAAAAAACATTACAAAATGCTAAATTTATAATGATGCAAGCATTCAAATTTATGACAACCAGATCGCATGTTTGGAGGCCGCAAAAGACCAGGAGGTCCTTGAGCCACAGCAGCACGAGGCAATGTTTGATTAGCATTGGACATCCATCCAGCAATGGCACTTGCAGGGCGGGGGACTATAGGTCGAAATGGCTGCACATGGAGAAAGAGCATCAATATAACATCAATAAGAACGTATATGAGAAGATAAATCAATGATGTCATTCACTTACACTATGAGCTACTAACCGATGAAAAGGGCATGATTTCGATAGGGGCCCAACAAGGGGAACATTGATAGGAGGAACAGGCAGTGACACATTGGTAGGCGGACATGAGTGATCAGCTAAAATTGTCTTGATATCAGGGTTAGGGTGTGGATTCTTGCAATGCTGATGCTGCCAATTGAGACTAGAATGATAAATAAATTTAGATTCAACAAAAAAAAAATTGGATTAATGTTATTAGAAATGAAAACAAGCATAGATGCTGCACATATGAAAAAGCATCACAAAAATACAATAAATAATGGAGACAAGCCAAATACCAGGCCAAGTTGGCTGCACAACAATGGTGACAATTGATGAAAAAACCACAACCTAATCTAATATTCTGACGTCATTTTCAACAGCTGTTCCAGCCACCCAAATTTTGTGGCACACTTATCAGATTTGAAAATTCATTTCAGATATCAGCTTACACTTGGACATGTCTTTTACAATAAAGCATGACTGATAATAGAAACAAAATAAAAAAAATTCCTTGAGGACGTTAACTATTTTCCTCTCCAAATAATTAGACAAAGCTGATGCTGACGATAAAATGACACTTTTTAACCCTTTTTCCACTTACAGATTGCATTAACGCTCGGTAGAAATAAATGTGTGAAGTAGCCATATGCCAAAAAGAAAAACAAATTTGATGTGGCAGAAGTATGTAGTTGTCAATTGTTAGAATTTTACTGCAGCGGTGGGATTTTACAGCAATTGCCAAACATTAAGGTTACTACACAACTCCATATTCAAGGCAAAGTTTCATCAAGAAATGGTCTCTTTTGTTTTATTAGTGAATCTCTTGAACAACCAAAAGATATTCAAAAAACAATTTTACAAAAATTATATCGACCAACTCCATCTATAAATTTTGAAGCCAAGAAAAGCAATCATGTAATGAGAAATCTCCTTGAGCACGATTAGCAATCTTAAATTCTAATTGAAAACATCTAGCTGTACTATCTTAATTGTAAGCTTTTAGTAAATAGATTCATATATTTTTTCTTATTTTATATGGCATTGGATTGAAAACAATCACCTGATATAGGATCTTAAGATCGATGCTATAACTCTTGCATATTTATTTTGCAAATGAGCTAATTTTGATTGTTTGGAAAGAGCAAAATCACTCTCATCAATGTGCCCCCATATATTTTTCCCATAACAAATGATTGAAAGGTAGAGTAACTTTAACTTGTGAGTCATATGCCAATGACAATCCGAACAAGTTTGATAGAGTTTGAAAAACATAGGAGAATTCAGGGAAATATGCTAGCAAGCGTGCTTGACTTGGGTTTTGAGTTGAAGGACTGTTGACGTTGATTCATGAATGCAGTGTCCGGACTGCATTGAGAAAAGATCAAGATTATATCAAGGTGTTTGCCAAAGGTAGATTGTAAATCGAAGGCTTTGTGACTATGGATCCACATTGATCAAAATGAGGATACCCAAAGGGTTTTAGCAACACCGTGAGCAGACTTGGAGGTCATGAATGATGAAACTGAGTTCACACAAAAGTTTTACAGATTCTTGCAGGATCATCAAAAGCAGAATAAAGATTCCGTCACGACCTGACCTGATAGCTTGAAATTAACCAAATCAAGAATAGCGGTCCAACGGTATAAACGTTTAAAAAATTATCCATAAAATTATAGAATCTTCTAAAATATAAAAGAGCCACTAAGAATTCCAGAAGTCATCCAAATGCACTAGAAATAACTTACAATTAAAATCTCAATCCATGCAATAGTATATCATTATCCAAAGAAAAAATGCCAAAAGAAATTATAAACTCATCATAACATAATATCTATCCACGGCAGACTTCGTTCTGTAAATCAAGTCTCTCCTACCAAACATATCAAGCTTAGCTTTTCTTTTCCTAAAAGAAAACATTAATTGCAACATTAAGTTTGAGTTAGTGAGCAATTATAATATTTATATACATAAAATTATTATGTTAATGTTATGCATGAATGACCAAAGAAAATGCAGTTAATTTATTTATAAAATTTTAAACATTCATATTAAATTTATCACTTTATATTTCACTTTAAATATTTATCGCATTAATCTCTTTAAAAATCATAACAGGATTATCTTCATACCCGAAGTTATCCTAAAAAATGTACCCGAAAGCACCCTATAAGTTTATCCCATAGGTCCCCCAAAAATATACCAAAATATACCCACAAAATTGCACATGAAAGTATGTCTTTATCATTTACTTTAACGTACACGACTACATCGGATCTCTTACCAGTATCATCTGAGAGTAATCATTTATGACCTAAACTTTTACTTAACGTTTCATATAAATTAAAATCTTTTAAATATGTACTTTCATATGTTAAACATTTTCCTCCCATTTGTAATACTATTTCAAACTTCAAAATGACAGACATGAATAAAATATTTATTTTAAACCATTTAATAAAGCAATTATTTATTTAATTAAATATTAATTTTATGCACAAAAATAAATAATTACTCACATTTGCTTTCAAGAGACATTTGAAATATCTATCCTTCTCTTTGCTTCCTTAACTAAAACCTAAATCAATTAAATGTGCATATAATTATAAGGATATCATTCTAAAAGAAAGACTTGCATGTATCTAATGACATAATTACATTGGTACATATAAATCAATTAGCAATTCCTTATCTTAAAATTTGGCTTGTTTCCTTGTGTAAGCCTCCTATTTCTCCCCTCAATCTCAAAACTTATCTCCCTTGCCTCAAGCACTTTCTGATTTTAATTACATTTACTATTAACACTTAAGGAACAAACTTAAAAATTCATATACAATTCATCAATTAAATTAATATAACTCAAACTTACCTTATCAATAATTGTTCGACTCAATAGTCCTTCCCACACATTCTTCCATTAACAATGCGTACTTTAAATTCACAAACCATAAATGCTAATATTATAATCTATTTAAAAAATTAAATTTATAGATTTACAACTTAAACTAAATCGAATAACTAACTCACACACACACCACACAATATACACAAATTTATTTAGCGTAATTAAAATCTTAAGATTTACCTTTCAAACCTTTTGGTCATACCTTCAACCCAGCACCGCATGAGATCCTTTCCAAGGTCTTCTTCCTTTGGCCTCGAATTCAACTTCCTCGCACATAAGGTCCCTGGACCTTGACTCTTTTCCTCTCTTCTTCCCGCACGCAAGCGTCGCAAATCCCTTCACCTCCCTCATTTCATAAGCACGACTTGACAACCCTAATGCACGTAGAGCTCAATTCCGGGACTTTTTCCTCTACTTCCTTTAGTTGTGGTTCGATTCAAAGCAGTGCAAGCATCATTCTCTTCTTCTACTTCCTCTACACACTGAGTTCTGCCTTTGGTCGCGGCTTCATCTATACGAAAAGACGGCACCGCTTCTTCCCTTCTTCCTCCTCGTGAAGGCAACACATCTTCGGTTGTGGCTCAATCCAGGTAAGCCCTCAACGCCACCTCTTTCATCTCCTTTCTTCTCTTCCTTTGATCAGTTAGGGCATGCTAGTTTCTACTCTCACGATCTCTCTGTCTCTCACTGGCTCTTCTATTTCGAATGATAGAAAGTGCGAAAGATCGTATGTTATGATTCATGCGGAGATTGTGACTCCTTTAACCGAGGACACTCTTTTTATTTGTTTACTTATTGTTATTATTATTTTTATTATTATTTTTTTACTTAAAACTTAAAAGTTATAACAATTTCTTGTCCTTGTAAAAATTTCATCCTTGAAATTTGAAAAGAATTAAAATAAAAACAACATACCTCATACAAAATCTGTGGATATTTTTCATGAATATGAGAGACTCACTCTCAATTAGCATCCTTCTCAAATCTGTGCTTCCATAAAATCTTCATATAAGGGATCTTTCTGTTCTGCGGCTTCTTCACATCATAATCTAGAATCCTTTCAAACTCCACAATATAAGTCAAATTTGGTTAAATATTAATTGAGCTACTACCATACTACTAACTTCATCTGTAATATATTTTCTAAGTGAAGAAATATGAAGAATATTATGCACTCCATGCATATAAGATGGTAAAGCCAATCTTTAAGCCACATCTTCGAACCTCTCCACAATCTCATATGGATAGACATATTTAGGTCTCAATTTTTTTGTCTTCCCAAAACGTTAAACACCCTTCAAATGACTGATCTTAATAAAAACAATCTCTCCAACTTCAAACTTAACAAGTTTGAGTTTGGCATTGTAATGTTTCCTCAGTCTATCCTGCAGGATCTTCAATCTGCCTCTGATCATTCTAATTTTCTCAATAGCATCATAAACCAAATTAGTTCCAACAATCTTTTTTTCACTTGTTTCAGCCCAACATAGAGGTGTCATGTACTTCTTTGTATACAAGGCTTCATATGGAGTCATCTCGATGCTATCCTGGTAACTGTTATTGTAAGAAAACTCTAATAAAGGTATATGTGATTCCCAACTTCCACCAAAATCAATGACACATAGCATATACATGTGGTACTGATCCTGAAGAATCAACTACCCTCGATCTGTCAAAGCTCCTCTAAGGTGGTGCAACACTGCCCCTAGAATCTGCTAGATCCTCTGACCCAATCTGAGATAGTTTCTCACCATATGTCCCGACTGGTGGCACAAAAAAACAAGTATTTGATTCAAACAATCACTCTCTCTTGTGAGACCTTCCACACTCATCGTATTACTTTACTTCAAACTGAGTGTCGATGTTGTTAGATTTGATTTTCTAAGCACAAGTATTCATTGACTAGAAGGACAGTGTGCCCAAGAGCCATGAGAAAACCTGGATACCTCCAAATTTCTTCTTTTCTGAATGTCCCCTCCTCTAAGTAACTTCTTAATCAATCTCAATCCTCCTGGCTCTCTCCACCAACACAAAATAATCATCAATTCTACAAGGAATCAATGGCTGTCAAATCACATTTCTCAGCCCAAATAAAAAACAGGGGCACTTCAGCTATGTATTTGCATCATCTGAGGCACATAGTTTGAGAGCATAGTGAATTTTGCCCCGTGCTGCTTAATTGAGTGATCACCCTAAACCAATTGAATAAATTTGTCCTACATCTACCTCCAGGCAAACAATGACATGAACCAGTCTCT